GAGGGGCCTGAATTTGAGCCCGTTTTCTCCCCCGCAGGTGAAGGTGTGGTTCCAGAACAGGAGGATGAAGTGGAAGAGGGTGAAAGGCGGCCAGCAGGGGGCGGCGGCCCGGGAGAAGGAACTGGTGAACGTGAAAAAGGGCACGCTGCTGCCCTCGGAGTTCTCCGGCATCGCGGCGCTGCACCACTCCACGGACTCCTTAGCCAACGAGGACAGTCAGGACAGCGACCAGAGCTCGGAGCACGCTCACTTATGATGCACGCACCCCCCCCCCCGACCTGCACCCCGCCCCCTGCACCCCAGGGGGGCCCCGCTTCTGCCTCAGGACCTTCCCAAGAAGGACTGCCGTTTGCTGATTCTCCATCGTCATACAACGATGCTAAATAAGTGTACAAATGCCCAGGAGTTACCTTTGTTAGACAAGTCCAGTCATCACCCAGGCAAAATGTAAAAATTGCAGGATCAAAATTTCCTCGACAAAGGCCAAAAAAAAGCGTATTTTAAATAGTAAAAAACGTGACATCCTGGTTAAGGACTTAATATTACAGTGTATTCGGAAATCATATCTAGTTGAACTGTTAACATTCCATGTTTTGTGTCTTGAGAGAAGCGGGCTAACGCTTTGATTTGCACTGTTGAACTTACGGTCTTGCGCCTCAATTGGTTTCTACTGTAAAAAAAAAAAAATCATGTAAATTGTGGTGTAATTGAGTTATTGATCCAATGAAGTGCGAGAAAAATCCGATTAGCTTCTCTTAATATAAACGCCCTGTAAATAATTCTCAGTATTGTCTTACCTTAACTTTAATTCTATATCCAGACTGTTCAGCTCATGAATTAATAAACACTGACGGCTCTTTTCAGCTGACACTATCCTGCCTGAAGATGACGTTTTTGTAAGTAGATCGGAAAACCTGAGATAAGGATTTTATTGAACCTTTTTCAGGGACTGTTGCGAAATTTGAATAAAAGTCAAGCTGTGGTTAATGGAAATTTCTTAAGAGCCCTCTTTCTTCCCACCCGTTTCTGCAGCTGAGCGTCCTGGTGAGTCGGAGGTGTTGAATGCACCATGTGAGGCTGACATAGGCTGAAAGTCTGGCAACATGGGCGCATGTTAAGTTCACCTTTGCCTGGGGGCCGGGTCGGGACTGCTGCCAACACTCAAGAGGAACCCGCAAAGGATCGGATTGGGTTACAAAACCCATTCGAAAATCATTTGGTGACTTGATCTCATCTTTCATCGCGTTGTGATTGTGCATTCTGATTTGTTCGAGAGGCACCTCACACGGCATTTGAGGTTTTTAATTTTTTTTTTTTTTCTTTCTCCCCGAGCAGAAACCCGCAGAACAAATCCGATCCACATTTTCCTTACGCTCCGACTCGGTGTAGTTTATCCGCACAAATAAGAGGACACTTACATTTTCCGCAAAGACTAGAAACATACCCAAATGTAAATGTTTCTCACAGCACACTTTCCTCTAATGTCACCTCCCCTTCAACCACTAGCTTCTGTAATACCGTCTACTGCTGTGTTCAAAACAAGAAAAAAGTCACAATTTGCCTTCAAGAGCCAACTTGAAAGCATTTCATCTAAACATTTTACAGCCACTTGGCACATTTCCACAAAAGGCAGCTGCAATAAAAGTGAATGCATGATCATTGTAGCAGACACGTTAATATTCAGGTTTCTGATGACCATAGCTACTGGTGACCTGGGGGGGGGGGGATCCCTTTCTTTTCCCCAACGACTCCATAGACTCGAACCACAACCCTGCATCCAGCTTCATTCTGCCCCAGCGGATCTGATCCCCTAAAAGCTCATAATTCATGCATATTCATACATATGAAATTGTGCATTTTAAGTTTTTACAGGGCAACCATCTCTTGTGGCCTCAGAATGATTTGGGTACAAGCACATTTTTTTTTTTCGCTGAATGGGGATACGTTAATTATCTGGCTCCGCCCACTTGATGTGACAAATGCCTGCTCTTCTGCCCACACCGACGTCCAGCTGGCATCCGGCCCTGCTTTCTAACAGAAGAGCAGAAATTCCCAGCCACAGTGCTGATGTTAGACTGTGATGATAATATATGTCTTAGGGGATTCCTTTTTCCAGCAGAGGACTTTCAAACTATTTTTTTTAAATAAACCGAGATCTGTTTTTAATCAGGGTCCCTTATACATTTTTACAAACATATTTTTCACCAGAAAACACATTTAACTGCATGCAAACTGCAGGCAGACACAGCCGAAACGTGGCTAATAAATCTTTTCTAAGCATGTAAATCTGAAAGTTGGATGTTCTTTAGTTGGAAACAAACTTTACTGATGGAATGAATATTAGAAACATCAAAACTAAAGCCAAACAGATACATTTTCTGTGTAGATTTAAATTATGGAAACGATCGAATCAATTCATTTAGAAAAAAAATAGATTAATAACTTTAGCTTCAGAATAAAAATAAAATAAAAAAAATTTAGTTTAATAAAATTCTAAGTGGTATCCAAAGACACAAAAGGAACACTCCAAAAGTTTAATTATTTGTGGACTTGAATAATAACTGTATCATAAGTTTTTGAATATATAACAGGACATATGACACAATATATGTGCAAACTAATATAATATCAATATAATGTTAATATCTGCCATTTATAAATTCCACTGTGTCTCAAAACTCCCACATTTTGGTAAGTGAGCAGATAGTGTTGGTTGGAGTTTGTGAAAAACTGCAACAATTCAGATACCTGCTCATCTTATTTACCCCTGCAACCAACTGGACTGAAAACAGGAGGAAACAGCTGCCTAGACTTTGTACAGTAGTTACAGCACCAGGCAGCGATGCCTGAGCGGTCAGGAGGGCCCTGGTCAAAACATCAGTCTTATGTAAGTTGAGTCAATCAAGTTGACTGGAAATAAAATGGAACCAAAGCCCCAAAAGCAAATGCTGACTTTAAACAGATGCCAAATAAAGGGAAAACGGGGGGGGGGGGGGGGGG